ACACCATTGGAAACATTGGTTATAATACCAAAGCTTTGACTGGAATGTCACATTTGAGACATACATAGACTGAGATATGACAGACAGCTCCAAGGAATTAGGATAGACTTTATGGAGCCATTAAAACCTGTTGAGAATGTTAGCCTGATATGTTGCTTACTGAGTGCCCAGCAGCCTTACCAGGTGAGTAAAGAATGTTACTTCCTGGCAGGTGCAAGAACCCTCAGGGTATTTGGGGATCTCAAGAAGAGGAATGCACCCTAACCTATAGGTATTGCAAACAAATATTTGGCTTTACTCTGGCTTTAAGAAGCTATTAAAAGTTCATTCTAAAGATTCCTTATAATAAGTCCTAGCAAAGCAGATTTTAAAAGATCTATATGATCAATCACTATTTTTGCTAAGATTATATAATTAGGCCAAATTTGTTAAAACTGGACTTGTTTTATAAATGAATTAGTCTTGATTTGGTTGTCTTTGGAAATAAGAGTGAATTTAGAGAGAAAAATTATGCTTCAATAATGCATCCTTATGGATGTAAGATTCTAGTTTTAATTGTCTTTAAATGTTTGTTGTTTGCCTAAACTAGACAACTTGAGGTAAACTTCAGACACATTGCCATAATAGCTCATATATAGACAATCTTTCTGCTTATCACTTTATGGGGATAATAAAAGGGACCCCATGGGCATATGATTATTTAAACAGTTGGACACTAGGATGAATGCCCCAACAATTATGTAACTCAGCCGTCACCTTGATCAATTCTATGTGGTTGGGATAACAAAATTTTTCCTTAAAAGTCAGAGCATACCCTACCCCATGGGGTTAACTATGAATTAGTGGAGATATGAATGGCTCCACCTTCCTTAAAATTGGATTGGAGAATGTACTTGGGGATGCCCTAATCTCCTGGGACAAGTCATCTCCCACTTGCCAGCAGTTCCTCCTAATTAGGATACTGTTAAGGCTAGATGTTAGGCAAAGAAGGCTTCTTAATGCTTTTATCCCTCAGCCATATTTGTCCTGGGAGCCACCTCTGTTATTGTATAATTATAAGTACAGTCTTTGGCAAAGCATACAGTGGCTGTCTTTAACCAAACCCAACACAAAGTCAGCCCCATAACAGCATATATAGGTATCTATTACTAAAAAGAATGTTTCTTATTGGCCTATGGTAATGTTACATGGGACTCTCTAGTCTATAGGCACCTCTCTCTTATCCTCAAACTATCAACATTTTAACAGAATATAGCAACCCACAGATAGGCTCATGACAACAAATTTCCCCACTACACAGTCCTTCTAATTGATACACCTAGGAAGGTTTATATCAAATATGTGATGGATATATTTTGCTTACTCCTAAAATAGGACAACTAAGCCAAAAGGCCCTTTCATGCTGGGAATAGAAAAACCATGCTCTCTTAATTTTTTAAAGATATTATTTATTTATTTGAGAGAGAGAGAAAAAGCATGAGCAGGGGGAGGGGTAGAGGGAGAAGCAGACTCCTTGCTGAGCAGGAAGTCTGATCATGCCCAGGACCCTGAGATTGTGACTTGAGCTGAAGGCAGACGCTTAACTGACTGAGCCACCCAGGTGCCTTGAAAACCATGCTCTTGATTCATAGCCCAAGAGTACTCGCCAAATGGAGTGGCTCCTCCCAAGAACCCTGTGACCATGCCATTATTTCACAGACAAATGATTGGTTTTCTACTGACTGGACAAGGCGACCAGGCATCAGACAGCTTGCACCTAATAGAACATAAAGATTATGTGGGCCAAATTTGTGACCATAGCTTCCACCAGGCTGGATTGGAAGATGCACTATGCATGACCTTAGCACTAGGACTATCACAATTCCAGCTAATCTTCCATATCTAAAACAATGATAGACAAGATCCGTGTTTCATTGGTATGAGCATCTGATGTCTCTTTTTCTTCCATCAATAGATTTAGAAGATGTCAATGGCACATGGAGGCCCTTGATAAATACACAATTAAGGACTTAAATGATTCTGAAGATAGCATTATGTTATTAAACACTAAAGTAACTCATGTGTAAGTAATTCTATAAAATAGAATGGCATTAGATGTCTTAGCAGGGGCACAAGAAGGAACATGTGCCATTATTACAGTGGAATGTTGTGTCTATCTTCCAGATGATAACAAAAATATAACAGAATTACCGATATGAGTAATCAAATTGGTGCTCTTTTTTTTTTTAAAAGATTTTATTTATTTATTTGACAGACAGAGATCACAAGTAGGCAGAGAGGCAGGCAGAGAGAGAGGAGGAAGCAGGCTCCCTGCTGAGCAGAGAGCCCGATGTGGGACTTGATCCCAGGACTCTGGGATCATGACCTGAGCTGAAGGCAGAGGCGTAACCCACTGAGCCACCCAGTCGCCCCCAAATTGGTGCTCTTAAAGTCCCTACACTGCCACTTAATGACTGGTTACATTCCTGGTTAGAAAGTGGACTGTGGTCCACGCTGAAGGATCTTCTCATTGCTCTTCTTATTTTCATTATAACAATACTAATATATTGTCTCTTTCACTTTGTTCTCTCCTATTGTCCAGATACATGCAAGCAGTTCCTGACTCCTTTGCCCAGCTGACAGATGATTCTTACTACTCGAAACAAATTTATTCCAATGTTCATTCTGGGCTATATAGCAATGGCTTCTGTAATTTATTTATAGAGACAAATAGTGACCATTTTCAGTCCATAGCTAGGGACATCTCTATGGCCCCTGTCAGCTTGAAGAAGTTATAGAAGATGAGCCTTTCACCCTTCAACAACTTTAAAGATTTAAGGACCAAAAATTGGATTGGGGGGAAATGATGAGGGATGGAAGGAGAAAAATGTTCACCTTTAGCCCAGTAGGTTGACCTATAGCCTGAATAGTCTTGATAAGGATCAAATGTGTGCTGGTTGCTACATTCTAAAAGGGTCTCATGACTGCCTATACATCTCATCAATAGTTAATAGTGGGCTGAATGATAAGCACCAGAAAATCTTGGAAAAGTAGTTTTAGGAATAGAAATTTTAAGAAAACATTCATGATCTAATCTTTCTTGCACATCTCCTCCCCCTTGAGAACTAAGCATATAACTGGCTTCATATAAGGTCCTGTCCTTGTGCTACTTAAATAAACTTACTAAGTTGTACCATACAATGTCTCAGGAATGCTTTCTTGGCCTTTGGATTCCACAATCCTGCAACAGTACATTTGTTACAAGCGATGAATCTAAACTGACACATCATAATTGCCCAAAATCTAGAGTTAATATCACTGGTTTACTTTTTTTTTTTTTTTTAAGAGAATAGGGGCACCTGGGTGACTCAGATGGTATGGCGTCTGCCTTCCACTCAGGTGATGATCTCAGGGTTCTGGGATCAAGCTTGCTTCTCCCTCTCTCTCTGCCTGCCTCTGCCTACTTGTGCTCTCTCTGTCAAATAAATAAATTAATAAATAAAACTTAACAAAAAAATAAAAGAATAATTTTTATCTAGGTACAGTGCATTTATTGCTATGGAAAGATACCCATATTATTTTGACAAGAAATTTAAAATCTATGAGGATGAATCCGATATTTAAATAGAAAATGTATAAGCATAATAAAGCTGAAATGGCTCTATACCACCATGTAACAGTAGGAATCCTAGGATATTGCCAGAATCCATACATCATAAGCAAACTTTTCAGTAACTGAATTGGCGAAGACATCTGAAATTGACTTGAGTACTACTCACTGATATTACCTTGTGGTTTTTTTTTTTTTCCCCTACAATTTACTGCATAAGACCCTAATACCTGAGGGTACTGGCAATACAAGTATACCAACTCTCGTTTTTTAAAATTTGTTTTTAAGATTTTATTTATCTATTTGACAGCAACAGAGTGAGAGAGCTAGAGAGCTGGCGCAAGAGAGCATGCGAGCACACAAGTAGGGGGGAGTGGAAGAGGGAGAAGCATGCTTCCAGCTGAGCAGGGAGCCCCATGCAGTGCTCAATCCCAGAACCCCAGGATTAATCCCAGACCCCAGAATTATGACCTGAGCCAGAGGCAGATGCTTAACGCTTAACGACTGAGGCTCGCAGGGGCCCCCAAGGCTCAGTTTTATCTAGCACAGCGTTAATTGACTTCAGTATAGTTAAGAGATGGAAACTGTGGTTAAGAAATCTTGAAATACGGCTAAAGTTTCTCAAGAAAAAAGGGAACCCTGACTAGTGAACTGCATGTTTTCTGATTCTAGAGGTTTAAGAAGGTGAAAAAGGCTGAAGAGATTGAATCAGAAATCAGGTATTCTGGGCAACAGTGGTCATCTCTAGGCGATAATGTCACGAGGTTGGGAAATGGATTGGGGGTGGGGAGAGGAGGGAGATAGTTATAAAGGAGTCCTAAGGTGCCACTGGCTGTCACACAGTAAGTTCTCTTTAAGAAAACTGTAATCAGAAGCCCCCTCCCCTACACTGAGTCAAGTATTCAGGTAGGTCCAGATGTTCAGATTTCGTGAACCAAAGGAAACTTAGAGTCGGAGGAGGACGGAGCTTGCATGCTGGGTCGCGTGTGCGCTCGGGCCGGTGATCTCCCGTTGCAGAAAACCTGTGAAGTAACAATGGGAGACGCCGCACTTTAAAGTCTAGAATCAGAACATGCCAGATTGGCTCCTAGTGAAAAACAATCCTATGAATCTTGTGGAGGTAGTCAGCCGCCGCCAGGATCCACCTCTCCCGGGGCGGTGGACCACGTCCCACTTCCCCAGGAGGTGGGCCAGCTTAGAACCGTGGCTTCCAGAAGCACCCGCACGCACTGAAGCGCCTACTGCCGCGTGCCTCGGAAGCTTCCCAGAGGCGGGCCGGTGCCTAGTGCGCAGGTGCGGGAAGCTGGCCCGGGGCTTCGAGCCAGGCACTGGCAGTTACGCGTCCGCCTCCGCAGGCGCTGCCTGCCGTTTACTTTTGAAAGGCTGCCGCGCGCTCTTTCCCATTGGCGGACGCCACACAGTTGAACGTTGCCGGGAGACTGCGCTTGCGTCCTGAGGCTCCGCGAGGCCCCGCCCCGTCTGGGCGCCTGAAATCCCTCAGGGCGGAGGAGGGCGGGGACGCCAAGCATCTCGGGGACGCGGAGCGTGGAGGCCGTAGAGCTGTTCTGGCCTGTGGAGTAGGTTGGTTTCAAACTCCCCGCGGTGAGTCTAAGGAGCGTCTTGGAGGGGTCCGTCTTCTTTGTCTGTAAGCACAGGCTGGTGTACTGGGTGTGTTTGGGGAGAGTTTAGGGGCTTGGTGATGGAGAGCGTGGGCACGGGTCCTGCATTTACTCTCTCTCGTCCCAGAGGAGGAGGTTGCGGAACCTCGTTTTCCTCCCTCGGGTGCGGAGCTGAGTTTCTGTTTGAGAGCAGGCCGCGTGTGGTGGTGAGGGTGAGAAGAGCGGGACTCCACAGACATGGTCTTCCTCGCGTGGTTTCGGGCGGGGGGCGCGGGGGCGGTGGAAGTGCATTGGGGGGGGGAGGCTCGGAAAGATTTGCCCTAAACCTTGGAGAAAGGGAAGGGTACGGTTATGTTGCGGCCCTTTGTGAGAGGTTCTCATGAGACTTAATAGTGGGTGTAATTATGCCCATTTTACAGGTGTGAAACCTCAGTTCTGAGAGGCATTAGGAAAAACTGACCCAGGGCGCCACAACATTTAAATGGCATAACTGAGACATGTGCAGACAGACGCCTTGATGGGGATAACCTAAATCAGTATTTGTCAGATTAGGCTGGCAAAATCTTTCGCTCCCACGGATGTTTCTTGTTTTCAAGTTGACTTGAAGAAGTTAAATGCGCATGAATGTTTGCTCCGTCATCATCATTGTTGGCTAACATTTTCAAGTGCTCGTAAGATACTTGACGCTACAAAAAGAGGTCCTTTGTGACCATTTATTTGGTCACAGGATTGTTGGAATTTTCAGTGTACAAGTGATACCTCTCCTGCACCACCAACTGTTGATATTTCTCACTATTTTTATAAAAACACAATGAGGCTTAGGGGAGATAAACGTCGAGGATTGAAATAACCTTTCCTGTGATGTCATATTTAATCTGTTCTTTGAGAATGCAAACCTAAAATATTAAGGTAAAATTATTTTAATTTTAGAACACGAATAAAAGAAACTGAGTAAGTTGGAGAAGATAAAGTATATTCAGTCGCTAATCCAGAAGATCAGCAGCAAAGTAGGTAAGCTCTGAAAGATTAAGTGAATACAAAATTCTCAGTAAATTTTTTTGAGTGTATGATTTAAAGTGGAAGTTGAGATTTTTAAATCTGAAAAAAGACATGTTGGTGTATAAAATTCAAGCCATCTGGGAGGAGCATAAAGTGAAAACAGCTCCCTCATCTGACCTGTACCTTAAAGTTAGTCACTTTTGTGTACCCTTTCAGAAATTTTACAGGGATTTGTGTACATCTAAACAAACAAATGGTATCATTTTATACATACAGACCTGCAAGTTGCATTTATTCCTTACCTGATATAAAAACTATGCATTTACATACTGATTTGTCTTTTTTTTTTTTTTTTTTTTTTTGATGGCTCTGTAGCTACCCTTTGAAGTAAGGTACAATAATTTAGTTGGGGAAGGTGAAAATTTTGATTTTAGGTCATGTTAATTTTAACATTGCCTTTCAGCAAACATTGCTGAATATACTTTCACTGTGAAAAGTGCTGAGGAAAAAAATGAAAACCTGAATTTCTCATTTCAGTTCTTGGTTAAATCACATAAGTAGTTTCTTTTTTAGTTTGGGGAAATAGGTTGATGTCAAATGCAAGAACAATGCAAATGGGCAGAGTTAAAGTCATATTCGACCATAGGATTTTTTTTTTTTTTTTAATTTGAAAGGGTTATGGTGACCTATTATTTTTGTATATTCAGATGTACAAACGTATTTTTTAAATTTTGCCCTATGTATATAGATGACACAATTGTCGTATTTCTGAAGTAATCTTGAATTGCATAAAATGTGCCTTGTATCAGTTAGGGCCACAAAGATGTGAGACCCAATCAGAATTTTCCCAGGCTTATAGCTGACTCACACTATAAGTTCTGGAGCAAGTCACTTAAACTCTATAATGTGGTAAACATAATTTTCTTCAGAGGTTGTAAAATATAATGGAATTTTTATTACTATTCATGTTTAGAGATGAAAGAGGCATTGTTAGTGAATTAAAACTTAAAAAATCATTTACACATACTGTGTAAGAGAATGGATAATATTTTTTTGTACTGTTTAATTCTCCATAATCTCTTTCTACTGACCATTCACTATTCTAGTTAGACATCATGGAGGCTCTGTAGGAAATCTACTTTTCGGAGAATGCATTAAAAGTTTAGAAATTCAGAAGTGTATTTGTTTTTGACACTAAAACACAAGAATTTTGTGAAATAATTTATAAGTGGGTGGTTTAGCCTCAATTTCTTTCTTTTTTTTTTTTTTTTTTTTTCAAAGACTTTATCTATTTGACAGACAGAGATCACAAGTAGGCAGAGAGGCAGGCAGAGAGAGGGGGGAAACAGGCTCCCTGCTGAGCAGGGAGCCCGATTCGGTGCTTGATCCCAGGACCCTGAGATCATGACCTGAGCCAAAGGCAGAGGCTTTAACCTACTGAGCCACCCAGGTGCCCTAAGCCTCAGTTTCTGAAAAGATTTATTTTTATATTCATTTCTTGGTGACTTTTTATAAAGTTTTTAATTTTTTAAAAAAGATTTTATTTATTTAAGAGAGAGAGAAAGCGAAAAAATTTACCATTATAAGCAGTAAGTGTGCCGTGGAGGGTCATTAAGTTCATTCACATTGTTGTGCAACTGTCAGCACCCATCCGTCTCCAGAACTTTTTCCATCTTCCCAGACTAGAATTAAACAATAACTCTCCATCTCCTCTTCCTTTAGCCCCATTTCACTTTGTCTTTGTGGAGTGCTTACTAGTTTTTATATTACGTGCACTTTCCACATCTATTGCAATTAAAGTTTTTCCTCCATTGACCTGAGTAATTTTCAGTTATTAAATGAACTTATATTTCTGGGAAGAATCTCATTTTGATCATTGTACTCTGGATTTGGATTTGCTAATACTGTGTTCAGGATTTTTATATCAGTATCCATTTTTGAAGTTAGTCTATTTTAGTTTTTATTAGGTATTGGAATCATGTTATACTATTTTCAAAACAATTTGCAAACTCTACATCCTTGTATTGTAGAACAGTTGAACAAGAAATTGCCTCCTAAAAATTTGAAAGAGCTCCCCCAGAGAAGCTTGTCCCTTCTTTTTTTCAGAATAGCACTTTTCCAATTTGTGAATTTCTCTCATATTTTGCTTTATATATTTTCTGGTCAGCTTGGTATTTGAAGTGATATAGAGAATAATTCATTTTTGGTAACTCTTCCAAATATAGTAGCATAGAGTTAGGCAAGGTATTCTGATTTTAGATTTTTCTATTTTTGGTTTATTTCCTTTTTTCAATGCTGACTTTGTATATTTGTTGTTTCTTCCTTTTGTCTCTTGATGGGTTAGTGTATTAATCAATTGCTGCATAACAAATTATCCCAATATTTAGCAGCTTAAAAGAACAAATATTAAAATACAATTTCTGTGGGCCAGGCATCTAGGAGCGCTTAGCTGAGTGCCTCCAGCCCAGCGTCTCTCTCATGAGGCTGCAGTCATTGTAGGATTTCACTGGACCTGAAGTATCTTGCTAGTAAGCCCACTTATATAGCCATCAGCAGACTTCCAGTGGGCTATTAGACTGAGGGCTGTAGTCCCTGGTCATAACAAGTGGACCTTGGTCTGCTCACAACATGGCATCTCTCTCTCCCTCAGTGACAGTGATCTAAGAGAGATGGAGAGAGCCAGGTCATTCCTGATGGAAACCATGGTCTTATTACAAAACCTTGAAAGTAATATCCTGTTGCTTCTGCTGTATTTTCTTAGAAGGGGGTCTCCTGGGTGGCTCAGTCTGTTAAACGTCTTTCCTCGGCTCAGGTCATGATCCCTGAGCCCCGCATTGGGACCCTGCTGGGTGGGGAGTCTCCTCCTCTCTCTCCTGCTCCCCCTGCTTGTGCTCTCTACCTCTCTCAAATAAATAAATAAGTAAGTAAGTAAATAAATAAATAAATAAAATCTTAAGAGAGTCACTAGGTCCAATCTACACTCACGGGAAAGGGATTACAAAAGGACATGAGTACTAGGAAGTGGAGGTCATTGGGGGGCCATCTTGGATGCTGCCTATTCCGGATAGCTAGTGGCTTATTTATTTAAAGAGACAGCTCTTGGGTTTATCAATACCAGCAATTTTGTTAATTCATTGTTTTCTTCATTTATTTTTATTATTTTTCTTCTTCTTTTCCTAGGTCAGTTTTCCTTTTTTTCTCTTTCCCTTTAGATGAATCCTTTTTATATTCCTTTTGTTTGGTAATGAAAGTATATAGCTTCAGCTCTGCCCTATACAATTCTTTTTTTAAACCCTATAGATTTTCCTAAGTATTTTTGTCTCGCATGAATAAAGTACATCTTGGCTGGGTACAGAATTCCTAGGTCCTATCCTTTTTCTTCTAGACCCTGTGGACCTCGCTGTATGATTTCTTAGCATTCCTTGTTGCTTTGGAGATGTTCTGGTTATGTGTTACCCTGTAAGAAATACCCGAAGGCTTGGCTGGCTGCGTGTTCATGATGACTTTTTTGCTCACATGTCTGGTACTTCATTGCTTCTCTACTTTTCCTCTCTTGCTAGCAGAGTAGCCTGGACTTTGTTTTACATAGTGATTCATGGGTCTGGGACAGTAACCTGCCAGGCGAATTAAGGGCTGTACCCAGAACGGTCATAGCATCACTTGTACTTTATATCCTGTTGATCAAAGCAGTCACATGGCCTGCCCAGGTTTTTTGTGGGGAGAAGAGATTTCATCTTTTGATGGGGGAGTACCACTGAAGCCACATTGTGGGGAGTGTATGTGGGAGATAATGGTTGTGGCCATTTTTGGAAATTACAATTTCCCAGAATTCTGAGACCATTGTTTTTTCCTTTTTTAGATATCTTAGTTTTTTGCCTGGATGCTTGCTTGTAGGATTGTCTCTGTCTAAAATTTTATGTTTTTAGTTAGCTGTTAATAGTTAAAAATAAAATAGCAGTATTGAGGTTAATAATGAAAAAGAGTAGCCCCTGCTCTCACTCTTCCCACTCCTGATTCCTGCTCTCCAGAAGCAACCACTCTCATTTAATGATTTCTTTTTGTATCTGCTTCTAGATTTTTGGTATCTGCTTCTAGATTTTTTAATGTGACTTCTTGACTTTTTACTTTTGACTTTCTGGAAGTTTAAGATTTAGTTCTTAGGTTTGTTTGTTTGTTTATTTATTTATTTATTTATTTGACAGAGAAAGGGCACAAGTAGAGTGGTAGGCAGAGAGAGAGGGGGAAACAGCCTCCCCTGCAGAGCAGAGAACCCTATGTGGGGCTCTATTCCAGGATCTTGGGATCATGACCTGAGCCGAAGGCAGCCACTTAACCGACTGAGCCACCCCACTGCCCCTAAGATTTAGTTCTTAAACACTGTTTCCTTCCTTTATTCCCTCCAGCCAATATAATTGTCATTTTCTTAGTTTGGGCTGTTATAACAAAAATACCATGAACTTAAGTGGCCTAAACAATAGATTTCTTGTAGTTCTGGAGGCTGGGATTTCCAAGATCGGGATGTCCAAGATCAGTATGTCAGCATGGCTGGGTTCTGGTAAGAGTTCCCTTCCTGGGGCACCTGGGTGGCTCAGTTGTTGTGTCTGCCTTCAGCTCACATCATGATTCTAGGGTCCTGGGACTGAGCCCTGAGCCCTGTGTCAGGCTCCCTGCTCTGCAGGAAGCCTGCTTCTTCCTCTCCCACTCCCCCCAACCTTGGCTTGTGTTCCCTCTATTGCTATCTGTTAAACAAATCTTTAAAAACAAACAAACAAATGCTCCCTTCCTGGGTTGAAGATGGCCCTCTTAATGCTGTTGTCCTTATGTGGTGGAGAGCTGAGGAGAGGGAGCGAGCCATCCTGTCTCCTCTAAGGGCACTAATCTGTTCATGAGGGCTCTCTGCCCTTATGACCTCATCTCCCAAAGGCTTACTGATACCATCTCATTAACAGCTAGGATCTCAACATGAATTTTAGGGGGACACAGGCATTCAGTCCATAAGTCATGTTTTTTGG